TATGAATAATTTATTTATAGAACTATTATAATGTTCATTAATATTTTATCTAAATGTATTATTATTTTAATTTTTCAAAAAATATTTTTTTATATTCATGACTTATAATTATGTTTTTAAATAAAATCTAATTAATTAAAAATAATAGCAATATAATAATAAGAAGAGTATATCACTCATTCTATCAGCTGATATTGGTATCAGGGGGGAAAAAACACATTTTTCAATCACTAATCTTTCCATCTTTCCTTCTGGAGATCTTTGGATACTTACACTGGGTTTTTATCATCTAGTCATATTTCATCATATAGTGTTTGGCTCTTACACCTCATTATTACATACTTTACATCACAGCAGGGACACTCAGATTGCATCGTTTGGGAACCACTTACTGTATAAAATGCATGAGTCTGTAAATAAAATTATGAATAATGGTAATATTAATTAATACTTTTTGGTTTCAAAACATGCAATACAAGTCATTTAATTTTAAGTGTTGCACCCTAACAGGAACACTCTTATTGTAGTCAAAATGGTCTGCATTGGCTCATCATTGGATGTTTGCAGTGGAAGCAGCATTTTTTGACTATAATGGGAGTGATATAGTTATAGCACTGCATTATTCATGGTAATCCAAATTGTGGTGCCGGTCACTGAGAAGCCTGTAGGATTTGATTTGAGTATCCCTGCATCACAGTGTTCATTTGTAGCTCACCAACCAGATACTCATCAATCACATCAATCAGTTCCATTCACTTTAATGGTGATTTTGATTAGCCTAATGAGGGGAAACGGTGGATAAGAGCCCTAATGGTGTTCAGACTAACAGTCAATGGGACGTCTTTACTGTCAGTGATGCTAGTTGCTTCTAGATGCTTCTGCTTGTCCTCTGTTGTCTTCCCTCTCTAACCTGGTCCTCCCTGGTGTCCCGTCCCTCCCGGCCCGTCGTGCTCTGTTGTAGGTTCAGATAGTCTCCAAAAAACTGGACTACAGTCACGTGACTTCTCGCTTGGGCTCCAAGGACAATATCAAACATGTTCCTGGTGGCGGGAACGTAAGTAACGTTACTGCATGCGGTGTAGTCGTCGTTCAAACAAACACGAACATTTCAGACCAAATCATGGTGACCGCAGAGGTTTGGATTCTTCTCTCACACTAACTCAAATCTGCTGCGGCGCTCTCTGAAATCTCAGTTTGAGGAGCTTTTAGAGATCTGCTCGGATGTTTTTCACCTGTTCCTCATCACCTCGTGTTTCATTTCAGGTTCAAGCACTGCATGCTACTGGGGCTGGGCGATAAAATGAGAACGATAATTATCACAGTATGTGACCCTGGACCACAAAACCAGTCATAAGGGTCAATTTCTCGAAAGCTGAACAAATAAGCTTTCCATTGATGTATGGTTTGTTAGGAGCGGACAATATTTGAAAATCTGGAATCTGAGGGTGCAAAAAAATCTAAATATTGAGAAAATCATCTTTAAAGTTGTTCAAATGAAGTTCTTAGCAATGCACATTACTAATCAAAAATTAAGTTTTGATATATTTACGGTAGGAAATTTACAAAATATCTTCATGGAACATGATCTTTACTTAATATCCTAATGATTTTTGGCATAAAAGAAAAATCTATAATGTTGACCCATACAATGTATTTTTGGCTATTGCTGCAAATATACCCCAGCGACTTAAGACTGCTTTTGTGCTCCAGGGTCACGTATATTTTTTGCACTCAATGGAACTAGTTTACTAGAGCAGACGTGTTTCGATCACATGACCGGCGCTGTGAGATCCAGCGAGAGTTCAGCGAAGAACACAAACGTTTCTGTGATTTCCTTTAAAGCCGGAGGAAACGGTGCTGACAAACATGAGAAACACTGTGCCGTTAGAAGGCTTTACCACAGATTTACTGTAGTAACGCTAACTGCACCATGGCATTGTGGCAGAAGTGTGGGATATACTTATGGAAATGTGTTATATTATTAATGTAGACATGGAATAAATGTATTAAAGTAGTAATGGTTGTTATTGAGCTCTAGAATTTGTGCATTTGTATTTATATTAAATGTAAAAACCATATTTTACCATGGTAGTGAGGTGCTATGTGTGGTTTTATCTTTGGTTATCATGATCTAATTGTGTGATACTATAGATGATCAATGGTTAATTTGAATAAAAGTTAGAATATTTCAGTTTTACCCTATAAATATGAGGTTGTTTTTTTTAATGAGCATACATTTCCATCTGTCAGGAAACACAAACCTGTTTGATGATGTGAAACAATATGAAACAATTTTTTTTTTTTAAATCTCTCTTGAGATATTTGAAGGGAAGATGACTGAAAAAGGATTTTACTTAAGTTTACTCATGCATGTTTTGATGTAGAAAAAATATTTTATTGTAAGTGTTTTGACTATTGTACCTCAGATTTGGTTACAGCTTTCACTCAGGAGAATAAATCTGCCTTTAAACTGGGAAGAAATAAAGATTTGACATTTATTGTGATAATTATCGATATCATAAACGTTTTTTTTTTTTTGCCGTATCGCCTAGCCCTACATGCTACTTTTATTTTAGCAGTATGTGAGCAGCTTCATGGGATGCTTGTTTATGTTCGCAGATCCAGATTCTCAACAAGAAGGTTGACTTGAGTAAAGTGACCTCAAAGTGCGGCTCCAAAGTCAACATCAAACATAAACCAGGTACGAACCAATCGCTTCTTCAGAAAAGACCGTTTAAATGACTTCAGTGTTTCATCTCCGATCCGAAACGGTCACCCTTTATTTCCAGGACCATTTCTCACTATTAACTTTTGCCTCGGTAAACTCCTAATTTTCTGCTTATTAATAATTAGTAAGGTAGTTTAGGTATTAAGAGATCTAAAATATGGTCATGCAGAGTAATGCATTAACATGTGCTTTATAAGTACTAATGTGCATGTTATTAAGCAACGAGAATTGGTCCCTAAACTAAAGAGCTGCAGTTTAAACCAGTGAGTGTGTGTTTTTCTGGAGGTGGAGGCGAGGTCAAGATCGAGAGCCGTAAGGTGAACTTTAAGGATAAAGCTCAGCCCAAGGTGAGCTCGATGGATAATGTCAATCACGAGCCCGGAGGCGGGAGAGTTAAGGTGAGTTTAACCTTTGAGACGTTACAGGTGTCAATAAGAAGTCGACTCATACTTTATTCTGTAGGAAGACAATTCAGACATTTAAATTCAATTTATGGTGTTATTTAGTGTTTAAAGGAATAATTCACCCAAAATATCTGTTAGTATATCTGCTGAATGAAATCCAATGCATGTTTCTTACTGATTTTGAGGAGCTGATTCCACAAATAGTCTGTTTTGCTTGAGCACATCACACTTTTTCACAAAATATGATGCGTTTCATGGCTTTTTTTGCTTTGGACAAGCATTTGTGTGGTTAATAAGTCTTGTATTCTCCCTAAATCAGCAGAAAAACACCACAATGACTTGATTCCTGTCTGAATCTGAGCCAGATTACAACTATTTCTTCAATTCTTGAATGTATATAATTTTAAAAATCTTTATATATATATATATATTTTTATAATGTGTGTTATATATGTGTGTGTGTGTGTGTGAGAGTGTATATAGTGTATGTGTGTGAGTGTATGCAGTGTATATATATAAATTATTATTATTTTTTTTTACTTTTTTTTTTGATACAGTGCTGTGTTATTAATCATGTTGTTCGCAAACCCTCATGATTTCTGTACATCAGGGGTCTTCAGCTAAAACTGCTTGAGGTCCAGTGATGAACCCTCCTCACCAGCCGAGGTCCAGACAATTATAAACCTAAAATCATGAACTGATGGCTTTTGATGCCAGACCAGGGAATCTGCAGGATATTTAAGCTCAAATTTAAGACTTAAGAACTGCACAAATGATATTAAAATGACTGTAAAAAGCATGATTTACAGTTCAGATACAGGTTTACAGTTTTATAAAATCATAAACTTCACATTTCAGCCTTTAAATATTTTTTAAAGAAAAGTATCTATTATTATATTAATTTAAACAATTATCAATTATCATATTAATTAAATAACAAATATATGTTACTGTCTTAATTGTTTAGATTATTATAATGCATTATCTGCACCCAAACGGCTGGCCTTGATTTGCTTGATATAAATGTGATTTTGTTAGAAAATAGCATTTACTTATTTCATTGTCTAAAGGCTTCACGGTCCGGATTCGGACTCCTGCTGTACAGAAAAAAAGGGATGTTTAACAGAAGACATTAGGAGACTTCTTTAAAATCACTTTCTGAAGTTGTTTGTTTTGGGTGAAATGTTCCTTTAAAAGCTGTTTTATTATAAATCAGTGGTGAGTTATATTACACTTGCATGGAAAGTTTAATGCTGATATGACATCAGTGTCTTTTTTTATGTTTCATGCTTTTATGTTTTCATTCAAGCCTCAGAACAATCACTTATGATGTGTTAAAGTTTATGTATGTGTGTTATGTAATGTATGTTAAAGACAAGAGTAAAGACTTTTGTCAGATGGAAAAAAAGACCAAATTCCAGAGCAGTTTCTGAACTCGAACCTCTGGCTTCAGACGGCTGTGTGATAGTGATGTCACCTGCCCCTCAGCCTATGGCCATCCATTTCAGTCACATGACCACGTTCTCCGCCCATTATTATTTTGCACCCATCCACGCTGAACACACATTTGTGATTATGATCACACTTATACTGTAGCATACATTTACTGAGACTTTTAGAAACAGCGTGAATTTTTGACTTTTTGATACTTCTGTAAGTAATATTAAGCAAGTTTTTAAATTAAGCATGTTCTATAGTTTACATTGTAGTATAACCTGTAACCTATAAACTTTTGTGTTAGGTGAGCATCTGTTCATCATAGTTTTAAGTCTTTGTTGACATAAGTTTAGAATTATTGAAAATTTTTATTTTCAATAATTATGTTTTTCTGTTCTTCTGAACATGATTCTTAAAAAGTTTAAATATGTAATGATTGACAGGCGTCTCCATTTGCATGGATTTCTATTCATCCTTGTAATTTTAGCAAAGTTGAAGGTTAATTCAGTTCCACATGATAGTCGATTGATTATTTTCTATACATGTATGAAATTTAGTCATTACATTTGTCATGATTTTTAATTGTGTAAATTTTGCTGTGTTCAGTGTACAGATATAATGTAGCAGTCTAGTCTTTCATTTTAGAATAATAGTACAATAAATTGAAAATAAATAAATAAATATGGACAATCAACCAAAAACATAAATAAATAAATAAAATAATTGTATTACATTAATAAATTTAAATATTAATTATATTATTATATTAAAAGGTACAGTATGTAAGATTTTGTAATAAAATGTGACCCTGGAGCACAAAACCAGTCATAAGGGTAAATTTTTCGAAATTCAGAAAATTTCATCTTCTGAAAGCTGAATAAATAATCTTCCCATTGATGTATGGTTTGTATGGTTTGTTAGGATTATTTAAATATTTGACCGAGATACAACTATTTGAAAATCTGGAATCTGAGGGTGCAAAAAAATCTAAATATTGAGAAAATCATCTTTAAAGTTGTTCAAATGAAGTTCTTAGCAATGCATATTACTAATCAAAAATTAAGTTTTAATATATTTACAGTAGGAAATTTACAAAATATCTTCATGGAACATATCTTTACTTAATATCCTAATGATTTTTGGCATAAAAGAAAAATGTATAATTTTGACCCATACAATGTATTGTTGGCTATTGCTACAAATATACCCCAGCGACTTAAGACTGCTTTTGTGCTCCAGGGTCACAAACATCCAAAAACGACTTGCACAGTGTTATATATTTTATGCAGTTGTGTATTTATGTTATTCCAAAAGTTCCAAAATTTGTAAATCCAGAGAAATTCAAATTTGAAATAATGACTCGTCCCTGGTCATTCTCGCCGATCAATGATGTAATATCCGTATATCCTCAGTTTCCGCTTGTAGAAACTATGGCAACACACAGACACAAATGCTGCTGTTAAACTAAATCCATTACGGCTGTCGCAAATAAAATGCAAATTAAAAGTGTTGACCGCAGCATTAAATTTAGATCTGCTCAGTGTTGCGCCATGATTTTTTATGCGTTTTTACAGTGTTGCACATTATAACCGATCACACACGAGTCTGTTGAGCTTATGAATGCAATGGGCAATCAGAGGCGTTCAGATGAGTTTTTGTTCAGTGCACGGCGGCTGACTGAATTCAGCTCTCACGCGAATTCTCTCATCATAAACAACAAAGCGCAGATGTACGTATGATGTAAGAGATTCATTATAGACAACATTATAAGGGGAGTTTTTTGAGAGTGCTTAAACTTGCGCTAGACTTAAGTCAGTCGTAATGTTCTTTGACAGTGTAAATGTTATTTGCTTGCATTCTCTGTATAATTTATTCGCTGTTTGAATAACTATTGAAGGTACAGGTAATAAAAAAATCAATTCGTTACCTCATCCGTGAACATCCTCCTTCATAGCGTCATCAAACTTCGCCTTTGTTATTGTTTTGAAAATGCGACCTCTAGTGGCGAAAACTTACATATTGTACCTTTAAAATATATTTAAAATAAATTAATTGTTTTGAAGCAAAAGATTTTGGGTTATTAAAGGGTTAGTTCACCCAAAAATGAAAATGCTGTCATTAATTACTCACCCTCGTGTTGTTCGAAACCCGTAAGACCTTCGTTCATCTTCAGAACACAAATTAAGATATTTCTGATGAAATCTGAGGGCTCTCTGACCCTCCCATAGACAGCAAGGTAACTACCACGATCAAGGTCCAGAAAAGTACCAGGATGATCGACAAAGTATTCCGTGTGACATCAGTGGTTCAACTGTAAAGTTACGAAGCTACGAGAATACTTTTTTTGCGCAAAGGAAACAAAAATAACGACTTTATTCCACATTTTCGTTCACGACAGTATCATGACGTGAGCATGTGGCGGCGCTGACCCAGATCCGGCGTGATGACGGCATAACTTTACAGTTGAACCACTGATGTCACACGGACTACTTTGTCGATCATCTTGGTACTTTTCTGGACCTTGAACGTGGTAGTTACCTTACTGTCTATGGGAGGGTCAGAGAACCCACAGATTTCATCAAAAATATCTTAATTTGTGTTCCGAAGATGAACGAAGGACTTAAGGGTTTGGAACAACACGAGGGTGAGTAATTAATGACAGAATTTTCATTTTTGGGTGAACTAACCCTTTAAAATCTTTACATGAACTCAGTCCAGTGTGTCTAAACTGGCTCTGTATATCAGCTTTATTTCTTCACCATGCAAGGTTTGAGTTATATTCAGTCCTGGCTGTGCGTCCATCGCCATTTCACCCACATCTTTCCTATTTGACACCCTGCTGTGTGTTTCTAGGCTGAGGGGGCCCAGGAGACTGCTGAGGGCAGCGGGGCTCCCTCTAGTGGTGTCTCGGCCACCCAGCCGTCAGCCGGCCCTGCCCAGGAGAATGGGCTGAAGGAGGGCGGCCCCTGCAGGAGTGAGGAGCTCCGGGACCCGCAGGGCCTGGACTCGCTCATCCCTGAAACAAGTAAGTTTGTGTGTAACCCGGCCCGAGACTCAGAGCCCCGCCGAAGCCCCATCAAACTAGAGGTCCTTTAGAACTGACTCTGATTCCACTTTCACATTCCATTCCTCACATTTACAGCTAAATATGATTTGTTTCTCCATCATTTCATTCACACTATTACTTTGTGGCTTTTTTTATTCTTTAGCTCTTAATTTTAAGCAGCATGTAAATTGTCTGGTTTATCACTGTACGAGAGGTCGACCGATTAATGATAATTAATAATTGGTGTAATATTGGTGTAAAACCAATAATTTTGATTGCTGATTAATGTGGCTGATTTTATGATCAAAATATTGAATAAAAAACATTGAATGTAACATTTTATTGTTTAAAAATTAAGATCAAATAAAAACATTGAATAATATTTTTTGAGTAAATTCAAAATATTAAATAAAAACATTGAATGTAACATTTATGCAAGATCAAATATTGAATAAAAACATTAATTTTAACATTTTATTTTTAAAGTAAAATAAAAAAAATATTGAATGAATACATAGAATGTAACATTTTATTTTTAAAGTAAAATAAAAATATTGAAAACATACATTGAATGTAACTTTAATTTTTTTGTAGAGAAATTAAAATATTGAATTCATTGAATTAAATATTTTAGGTAAGATCAGAATATTGATTTAAACCACTGAATGTAACTTTTTTTAAATATAAAATCAAAATATTGATTAAAGATATTAATTAAACATTTTAAGTAAAATCAAAATATTAAATAAAAAACATTGAATGTTACATTTTATTTTTTTATGTAAAATCTAAATATTAAATATAAGACAATGCATATAACATTTTAAGTAAAATCTAAATATTGAATAAAACCATTGGATGTAACATTTTATTTTTTTTAATAAAATCAGAATATTTCTATAATAAAAACGTTGAATGTAACATTTAATTTTTTTAAGTAAAATCAAAATATTGAATAAATACATTGAATGTACCATTTTATTTTTTTAATGTAACATCAAAATATTACATATAAGACAATGTATATAACATTTCAAGTACAATCAAAATATTGAATAAAACCATTGGATGTAACATTTTAGTTTTATATATCATTCATTTAAAACAAATCGGATGTGTAACTTTAATTATGGTGCAATTGTCATTTTAACAGTTAGTCTGTTATCGGTGCAGATGAATCAATCGGTCGACCTCTGCACTGAACTGATGGTTTTAAAGTGCAGTTTTCTGATCTACAAACCGTTTTGACCTCTTCTTATTTTTCAGGCATCTAACTCGACTTTTTGCTATCACTCTGCCCTTTTCATTTCACCCCCGCCCGCTTCCTCTCCTCCCCTTGTTTATGTCCTGTCTCTCCTCTGTCCTGTCTTTCTCCACACTCTGTGATGCAGATTGAGTCTTTCAAGCTAAATTTCCGCGAGAACGCCCGCTCTCGCACGGACCACGGCGCAGACATCATCACCTGGCCCGTCTCGGGTGACAGCCCTGTCCACCGTCACCTGCTCCGCAGCAGCGTCTCACTCAACGACTCCCTCGCGACCGCCGGCATCCCCCGCTCTCACACCACCCCGGCCCTCTCCTCCTCCCAGGAACAAGGGGGCGATGTTGGCTCGCTCAATGGACTCTAGATATGATTGCTGTCTTTTCATTGGTCCGCTGCTCTCTAAACCCCGCCTCCTACCATTGCTAAGACTCATATGATTGGTGTGCTCTCTGTTGACGTTCTTAATTCCTGATTGGTGAGGCTGTACAGATTACAGTCATCAGGATGCGCAAAAAAATGACCGCAGTCGAAGGCGACTGGGAGCGAAATCTGGCCCGAGGGTCTGTAAACTCTTGAGGTTACACTTTGACATGGCTAAACTCATGCTACTCACACCCCTGCTACATCACTTGTTGTAGAGCATGAATCTAGTTGAGTTCCTTTTTATTTTTTTTATCTGTATTGCAACTCCTTCTGGACCGGTATTCATAATCAAACCTGCACATGCCCATCTGATCACCACATACAAACACATCTGGATCCATCTGGACATCATCTCTAGCTGCCTTCAAGTCCTCATGGGAAGTTCGTGCTTACGAGTTATTTACGATGCGATCGTGTCATAGGATTTTAGATGGGAAAATCACTTTCTGAGTAATCCAAGAAGCTTCTTTTAGTGCCAAAGCAACAAAATGAAGAGCAAAGGATGTGCATTAGATCGGTGCATTTTATCATTCTAATGAATAGGGAATGTAGTTTGGTTGTGTGAAGATTTCATTCACGTTCACACTGCGTTTTGAGCATGCAAAATATCTACAGACACAGCAAGAATTAAAATACACACATTTTCACACAGAAACTGCTCAATTTCACAAACAATTACAAAGAAACTGCTAGTAACATGTTGATTTAAACATGCAGTTTTAAAGTAGAAAAACAGGTGTAGGATTTTCTTGTAAAACATACTTTTTTTGCTTTATTTCCTCTTTTAATTTTTTTTTTTTTTACAGCGTAGTAACAATTTTCACTCTGAAATTGCTAGTAAGTTTCACAATTACAAAGAAACCGCATGTAACACGCCGAATTAAACATGCAATTGTAAAGTAGAAGAATTGAAATATTTTCTTGTAAAACATACTTTGGTGTTTTTTTTATAAATATGCAATCTACTCAAATTTACTGCAATTCTGCAGATTTAAAGTTTGCTTATTGTTTGTTTGTTTAATTCAGCTAAGAGGTCACGCCGGGATCTATCAAGCTTTTATTGGTCGTATGTCTTCACGTCATACACTTGCATGAGCTTGCTTATCCTGTCTCCACGTTTGCATGCATGTGAATGGGAGTCAATGAAACGTAATGTGTAGTGCGATCGTCCCTTTATGCCTCATAAGCTGGCTAAATAAATATCGTCTGAAACTTTTACATTTAAAATGGCTAATAACAGCTCCAAACTTGGAAAGTCTCCCGACATCAGATGTCAGATTTCGGTGGCGCTCGTCTCGTAAGCACGATCATTTCTGCTTGATTTGAAGGCAGCATCATTGCTGTCATGTGACCCTCGCTCACCTCACCCTTGACCTCCAGTAGAGCTGTCATCGAAGCACATAGGCTTTCTGAATCTCTCTCTAAAGCTGTTTCGTGATGGTGTGTTTGAGTGAATACTGTAGCAATCAACTGTTGTTAAACAGTTTCTTTTGACTCTTCGTTTTATTTTCGTGACCAGCAATTGTTTCCTTTTCCTTGTTATTGTAAAGCAATATAACAGTCTCCTATAATGCCTATAAGACATGAAACTCCACGTACACGCACAGTGCTCATAGTGTCAAACGCAGCTTTGTGAACGTGAAGAGGGCCTGAGATGGACGTGTAACGAAAAATACCCTTGTGAAAAAGAAGAAAAGATCATATAATATTAATGAAATAAAAGCCCACTTAAGTGTACTTAGAGTACACTTTCATGACTGTTTCTTAACACACTTAAGTACACTCTGCAATTGTCAAATTAAAAGTTTTACTTTAAAGTACATTTTAAATCATTATGTTTTAATGATCTTTGAAGAAGTACACGTATTTTGACGTGTTGACTGACATACTAAAGTGCATGTGAAATACTTGATTATAATCTAACTGTAGAGTTATGCAATATTACATTCAAAGTTATTTTACTCAACTGCACCTTCATTCATCATTACAAATGTATAATTAAAAATATATTTAAATGCATGACTTGCAAGTTTAGTTTACTATGAATGCTTGCCAGTGCAATCAGCAATACACTTTAACCATATTTCAAAGACACTAGAAGTATTTGTGAAATTGCGTATAAAGATGTAGCCTAATTAAGTCCTACTCAAGTGGGTCAAAAACACTCTTCTAATTGCATTTAATATAAATCTGAACCATTATAGACTTCAATTAACAAGCAATGTAAATGTCTGAAAACGTTACATTCAGTTCACACTTACAGTAAGTATATTCTTCCAAAGTGCATTGCTGTAATAAGTACTCCTTTTAAAAGTATGCTTAAGTGTACTTCTTTTTCACAAAGGCAAGGGAAGCGTGGAGACACATGGATGTTGACTTGATGCACGAGGGGTTTCTGTTGGCAATGAATGGTTGATGTTTTGGCATCATGTGCAGTAGGTCCAGTATGTTTTATATGGAAGCGAGTGTCGAGTTTGTGCCTGATAGCAATCGCATCCTGCCTTTGGAGCGACGCAGAGACAGAATGTCACCGCTTGACACCTTTTACGTACTTTTAATAGTTGCTTTATGAGAAACCAGTGAAATTGTGAGTGCGTCTGGTGGTGGTTTTACTTCTTCTCTTATTGCATTCGTTTCTGAAGGTCTTTTTTAGGACATGTGAGTCGACAGGTTCCTGCGGGGTTTTAATGGTGGAGCTTGTAGCTTATTTCTCTTGTAGCATTTTACTGTAGTTTATCTTCAGACGGCCTTTTTTGAGGTCGCACAGAATCACACGCTTAACACGTATCTGCTTGGTTTAGTGTCCTTTTGGTGTAATAATGAGGTAAGAGAACCTGGCCGTTTTTTCTGTTCATTTCTTCATCAGCTGTGGGTGGTATGGAGGTCGGAGAGACGTTTTAAATGATTTTTTAGCATGCTTTCCTTTCAATAAGTATGACCGATTATTGTTGCATCTATCTTGTCAGACCTCTTCAATCCCAGAACATGCAAAGCAATAAGACTGTCAGAATGACAGACCCCAGATTTTGACTTTTAGAAATCTACATCACGCATGAACAGCGTAAAGCAATTCGGATCATGAAATATTATGCGATTGATCGAAAAATCACTGAATGCATTTTCTGAGAGGAAGTTTCATTTTAGATATAACAAATACGAGTAGCACAGCGTAACTTCATCGTGTATTCTCATTCTTAAAGATTATTTAAATAATGCATCTCTTTGAATTGGGGAAAAAATGCCAAATTGATGATTTTTGGCCAATAACGGTTATTATTTATAGTCTTTTTTTCTTTCCAAGAAATGAGAGGTGTGTAAATATTAGGTAAATATAAGTCTTTCGTTAAGGGCCTTATGTTTAGCGGCTGTTTGTAGTGAAAAGGTCACATTTGAATCGGTTCCCAATGCCTGAATGAACCCAGAGAACAATCCTACTATCATTTATAGCATCTTTACATGCATTTACAGTTGATTTCCCTGTGGTTATATTGCTATCTCTGTGAATGCATTTAATATTGGCATAAACTAAAAGACATCTGCAATGGTCGGAGTGGCTGAGGGCTGATATTATGCACCTTTAACGGCTATTATTCATGTTATTATTGTCATTTTGGCCCTGCATTTTTTCCAATGAGAAAGGCAGAGAACAAATGTATTTAAACTATATTAAAGCACATGTATTTGGCCGCCGTGTGTTTAATGTGGCGAGCTTGGTAGCGGCTTATGCCCAGATGATGCCAGGTGGGTCACGTCCAGATGGGCATCGATATTTAGCCCATGTCCTGTTAACGTCTTCTGATAACCCTTTATGTTTCTATGAATCTTAGTCTTACAAGAAAAAGATACTTTGAATAACACTGTCAAACTAAAATGGGAGGATTGCATTGAATGTGTTTCAGTTGCACAGATTTTATTGTGCCACGAAGGACCAGGGCATGCTGTTGAAGCAGGGAGAGGAGAGGTCCAATTATTGTTGTTGTTATTATTTTTATGGTTATGATTTTGTTTTGTTTTTCTTATTTGGGAGTAATCTGGGAGAGGACATAATTTTGCCCTGGAACATACTTACACTCATAAAGATGCACAACCCTAAAGTAACATGGAAACTAAAGAAACATGAGATTAATGTGCAGTAGATTCGCTCTCTTGAGATGCAGCAAGAAGCTCTAAGCTAACATGAATAGAACATTCAGAAACCAGGTGAGGCTATTTGCCAGACAAGGTTTTCGTTGGTTTGTTTTTCCTTTATTTTTGAGTTTTTCCATGAAAATTGAATTTCATTACTTTTTTTTTTTTTTGAATGAGGTGTTTATTGTGGTTAATTGTTAACTATGATGTGATTATTAAACATTAAATAAAATAAAGTGTTTAAAACATTCTTTGGGTGTTGTGTTTGGTCTTTATATGTTAAAGCAAAAGTTTCTTGTTCCCAAGTATTTATATGCTTCACAAATTTATTTTTTTTTACATTTGTTTACTGTTTTATATTGTAATATATTTTATAAATGTATAATTTTAGATTTCTCTAGATTTTACTTTTCTAATATTTTCAGAACAACCTCAAAAACTGCACAGGTGTGACTTGGACATAATAAGATATTGATTCTGTTTGTTTTATATTTTTATTTTTAATTACTCAAGGCATTAATTTTGAAAAATACTTGATGTTCAGCCAAAAAAATAAAAATAAAACTATAGAAAAGGTAGCGAAAAAAGGCAAGTCCTTTTATATTTTGTCATTTTTACTTGTATTTCACTACAGTACTTCGGTACTTGTCTTTTTGCTATGCTAGTAATTTTCCATCACGAGATCCCGTGACGTCAGACACGTAAACTTTCCCGCCTTCTGCGCGAGAGCGTCTTCTTCAGTCGACGGCGGAGCTTTCTCAATCGTCGCTGGATTTTCTCCTCAGCTTTTCTAAAGATTATTTTCAACGGTATAAAACTCAAGGTACAAAGTTTGTGTTGATATCCAGTTCAACCAATTATGCAGATTAATTTTTAACGGTACGTAATGACATTTTGAACCTTAATGCTTTTTACCCCTTAAACTAAATTAGGTGATTATTAAAGAGCTTAATTAAGTTACGTGTT